CAAAATATGACAAAAAGACCAAAGTGGGTTCATAAGTTCTTGTCTGATTATGTAAATTTAATGTATAAGTATATTGTTTGGGCATAGGGACAGGGGGTCATGGAGAGCAGTGCATGTTAATTAGGGGCAGCCAATCAAAAAGGTTGAGAAACACTAAATTGAGGGACAAACTGATTGAAAAATGGCCAGAATAACAGATTATTGATAGCTGCTGGGATTGACAGTCCTTACCGGTTCAACTCGGTAAGCGACTTGTTAAACTTGCCTCGGCTCTGATAGGCATGCTGCAGGAACATCAGAACATAGACAGCTTTTTTTGCCGATGGGAAGGGAGCCAAAAGCTGATTGTTTGCTGGTCTACCAGTGTTTGAAAAACCTGCGTTAACCTGTTACTTTCAGAGGAAAAAAGGCTTTAGATTTAGAGAGAGACAGACAGCCAGCCGTATTATTTGGTGATTGAACCGTTTAATAAACAGATCGATGGCAAAATGCAGATGTTTGAATGGACTATGGATAGAATGACGTAGAATTTGTGTACAACTTGTACAGGTGGATGGAAGTTGGATTAACAGACCAATAAAGGCCGATTTATACTTCTGACACATAGCCTCTGCAACCATCAATCTGTCTCTGGTTATGCAACCTTCATCGCACACCTCCACAAAATCCCTACTATGCGTCAGACGGTCGCAAACCCGCGCAGACCTCAAGCGGAAGTGCGCAGACAAAAAGCAGCTGTGATTGGTCCTTGGTATGCCTTTCCAGCTGTCTGTATGGTCGTCCACAGCTCCTGCATAGATTACAGACTAACTAACCGTCCAAAGGAGTGGTGCAAGACTGGTAAGACAGTAAGACAGATGGATTGACAAATGTCCTGACTGTATGGACTAATGGAGTTAGATGGATGGATGGAATTACTCCTGGTCGAAAAGTAAACTAACTGATAGATGCAATTTATTATAAGGATAATTGACAGCAATCTGTAATTCTGCTTCTGATTTCTACTCACAGAAGGGCCTACAGATAAGGCCAAAAAAGCAAGCTTGATAGATTTATAATAAGGCTAAATAAGCTAACCAGTACATCTACACTTCTACCTTTACTTTTCAAAGGGGAGTACAGTATTAAAAGTCTTTTATTCAGCACAATTCTACTTTTATTTTAGTACTTTAAGTAACTTCTGGCTTGTGTGCTTTTCTAAAGTCTGTACCTTTGTCTGAATTTTTCCAGACAGTCTCTGGGGTTTTTCTTCTACATTTTATATTTACCCAATTGAATGGATATCACAGCCTGATGTATTATTAAATAGTCTTGCTAAAATATGCATTCCCTTTTAATCTTTCAATATTTAGTATGACTAGAACTAAAAACAATAATACAGTTGTTGGGACTGTATTTATCAAACTAAAATAAAGTACTAAAATATCACGTAACAGTAACATTTAGTAGTAGAAACAAAAACCTGGTCAGACTTGATGAGAAGACGGATGCAATCTTCACAAAAGGAGCAATCTTTGAAGAATAGCTGAGCAAAGTATAGGTTAAAGCGGGACAATAACATTTATTATAGAGTCTGATTTAAAACTGAATTTTTTTTACTGTCATAACAGATTATTGTTCTTAAATAAAGCTTCAGACACTTAATCCGATTGATAATCTGTGGCCGAACTTGAGGACAGATACCGACAGACGTCTATCCAAGTCTGAATTACTTTGAGCTAATCTGGAAAGTAATATGAGCAGATAGGACTTCATCAAACTTAAAAAAAAAAAAACATGGAAAAGTCTGGCATTATAAATTTACAAATCCTTTCAGAATTATTTTCTTAAAATAAACAAATAGAAAGCTGATCTGCTATCATAGAACCAAAACCTTTTTTTTTATCTAAAAAGTTTGTTGGAGACAAAATGTGAACCCAAACATTTGTGAAAAATTTTATTTAGTAAAAAATTGTTTTTGTCTTAGGGCCCAAACAATTAATCAGATTAATCGTGATGAATCGATTATTGAAATAATCGTCAACTAATTCGGTAAACAATTAATCGTTAACTGGAGTAGAAACTAAAACATGCCTTTAGCTAAAAGAGAAACCCACTTAAAGCAGTAATTATACCAAAATTGAAAATATTATTATAATATAATATATATTAATACTTTGCATTTAAGATAAAAACACCTTTTTTCGTCTGTCAATATGCTCTACCCAGAATTCAAGTAGAATAAGGTTTGGTTCATTAATTGCGGCCCTAATTCCTCTACATCCAAAACGAAACACAAACCACTGCAGCATAATTAGACTACTCTTTCATTATTGTGGAGGCCATAGATTCCATAGTGTTTAAAGTTAGCTCTTTGTTATTTGACAAAATAAAACCCTTTAAATTCCTGCTTAATATCTGGATTCATTTTCATAACTTATACTCCAGAATGCATTTTATAATTAATCAAAGGGTTCACTGTTTAATGACCAGTAAAGGAGGCATCAGCTATACTGGGACATGATTTTTTTTTTCTCCAAGTTACAACATAATTTTGCACCTTTAACTACTTGAACAGGCAAGTTCTACTTCCTTGAGATTTGTTCCAACTCATAACATCTCGACATACTCTAAGCTGTTGCAGCTTGTCTTAGCAAATGTCAAGAGAAAATTACCACGTTACTGCCAAGCCCAATAAAACATCACTAATTCTCTGCATTACAATGCAACCTGAAGGGGACATTTCAAAAGATTCATTGATTAAAATTATACACCGTAAATGCTCACACTATTCAATGGAACTGTTAGCAGGCTCAGCAGGATTTTGTTTGGGCTCCAGGCTAAAGGAGACCAACTGACAGATTCCTCATTAGGTAGCTGTCTGTCGACATGCCTGCTTTGGATTGTCATGGTACCACAGCCAACCGAAAGAAAAGTATTCAAGTAAACAGGGATACTACTGTTCAAACTATATCAAGAATCTCTGGAATCTGGCATGTTTGCTTTAAAAACATGAGGAACGTCAAAAAAAAAAAAAAAAGACAGACACAACTAAAACGTATAGCATTCATTTAAACATTTAAAACATGTGTACCACCTTTTATAGTCCACACACACTAAAAAAAACACACCTAAAACTAAAACAAAAACTTAAAAAGAGATAAATTTCACTCAACAGTCTTCAGTCTTTCCATAAAAGAACTAGTGAAGAATATGCAGCCAGTATGCAAAAGAAAAGGTGACTTGTTTACCCTTGTCCTTTTTACTCATGTGAATCATTAAAAAGTATGTTTAAAGCTCCTGAGTTTATCGGCCAATGAAAGAAGATAAAGGGGAAGATAAAGTTCTCTGGAAAACCATATAAACAGCTCTATTTTGAGGGGTGATTTTTAAAGCATTCAAATATAAAACCTTAAAGCCAACATAAACAGTTCATTTTATGTTGTCAATAACAAACTGTTTCTACCACCATCGAGGTTCAGCAGACCATAAAAAGCACCTGATTCAGGGCAGTGACAAAGCTTGTGATCAGTCCCCTTATGATTTGTATGCGGTGCCTTCCAGGTACGGATAGGCGGGATGTGCATTTGAAAAACTCTTAGACCAAAACAAAAGAGTCAGATAATAAAGTGGATGGAAATTATAGTCCTAATAAATCTAAAGTCTAAAGAAAATATAGTGTGCACTTTTTTTTTTAAACCCTCACATAATATTTTGTTAAAGCCTTTTTTCCTGCAACTACAACTGCTGTGTACCTTACCAGCTTTGTACATCTGGAGAAGGAACATTTGAGCTGATTCTTTTCAAAACAGCTTCAGCCGTTTGTGGAGGATCTTATGGAAAACATTTGAACATCAATCTTTGGCCAATAAATCAGGATGCTGTGATCTTAACCATATTACAGCTCTGTCGGTGCTTTAATTTCATTTATCTGCATCAAAGTAAGTTGGTATAAATTATAGGTGGGTTATTATACCATTTATCCCCATCGTGATCAATTTCTACTCATAACAATTTAGATTTATTGTTTAAACAATAAATTGGAATTTGAGACAACTAAAAAAAAAAATGGGTAAATTTGGAATTTTAAATATTTGTTCATTGGGACACAATTAAAGAATATGAATAAATCGAGTTACTTAGGGATGGTTAATGATAAATCAAATTTCTTTATTTTTCTTCAAGGAATGAGGGCAGATCACCCAGCCTAATATCCACAACACTTAAAAGTGTTTTATTTTTAACAAATATTTATACACTTTTTTGCTCTTACTCTTTAGTTGGTTTCCTGGTGCATCTTATAAAAATTTTAAGAGTATCGATTGATTTCTGATGAACTGTTGCAAAAAAAAAAAAAAAAGTTTTCAACTTTTCTCAAAAAGATAGACCTGATAACATGAACGCTTATATTTCACAAAAAAAAGGGGGCCACCTCAAGCAAAATGTATTGATCCAGCAGCTTCTCCTTAAAGCAGGGGTCTTGAACGTTTTCCAGGGTAAGGACCCCCAAACTGATGGCAAGATGGAGCAGACACCCCCTCATTATATACATTTTATAAAATTGTGTTATATCAAACTGGTCCTTTAGTCACTCTATTACAGATGGAGTAAAGTAATAAAAGTAATTTCTCCCTAGGATTATTAGAGTATTTCTGATTCCTGGTTGATGGGACGGGTTTGAGTGAAAGAGCTCCTGTGTGTCACTGAATGTGTGCATTGATGACTGAAAGACACATTCTGCCCCCTTTTATCTGTTTACTTCAGTGTGTTGGATTCATGATAATGTTTATTTAAAGACATTTTAATGAGTGAAAAAAATTGCAGGGGGGGATATAAAAAATAAAATAAAAAGTCTAATCAACTTTTGCGACCCCCATGCAGCACCTTCGTGGACCCCATAGGGATCGCGGACCCCCTGTTGAGGACCTCCGCCTTAAAGGATGTGTTCATCTGCTAGAGCCCCCACACTGAACAATGGCCGGGACATTTAAAGCAACAGAGCCCCTCCATTATCCTCTTACCTTTGAGCTGTGGCAGCGGGGACAGCTCGACCGGAGCGCTCTGAGTGCGAAACTGAGAGGAGCCCTGGGATCTCCTCTGCTTCTGCGCCTTCCTCACAGACTTCCTCGTAAAGCCGTCCACTTTCTCGGATGCAGAGATGGCGGACATTTTGATGCAAACTCACAAAGGTTGTAGGCGAGCTATTGTTATATTAAAAAAAAAAAAAAAAATCAGACGTGGTGAGGTTTCAAACCCTCTTTCTCACATCAGCGTCAAATTGTGGAGGGAACAGCCCGAGCCCAGGCTCCTATTATTCTGTATGATCCAACATGGTCATGTTTGCATGGAGGTTAGACCGAGTCCTTGTGGTGCATCTTTGAAGAGCCTTCAATGTGAGACGGGGAACAATATTTTACAAAAAAAAAAAACCCTCTAAGATGAAAACGCAGAGCACCCAAAGTTAGCCTCTTAAATAATACAAATAAGCGTCTAAATATCGGTCAGTTAGTGCTGGTTTGTCAGGTCTGCAAACGGACTACCTGTTGCATAACGTAGGTAAGGCATCATAAAGAAAAGTTCCCTGGATTAGAATCCTGACTGTAGCCGAACAGTGTGGCTATATGCTCGCAGCTAACGCATCCGGCTAGCTTGCTAAATGCAACCGACGTTAATACAGAGCTACAAGAATACGCTACGATGTTAACGAGGGAAAAGTTGGGGGAAATCGTCGCCCCATCAAATTAACGAAATTCTGAGTTTTATGTTAACTCAATGGCTCCTTCAGGCAGATGTTGGAGCCCCAGTTCCGTTGAGTATCTCTTGAAAACAACTCTCCATTGGCGACGAAGTTCAAATTTGCTTCCTTTAGCAGCCTGAGGTTAGCTGTGACTGCGCAGGAGGCTTTATTTTTCACGCAGTATACAATTCCACGGGCTCGTTTCCACGGCCTCTAATCAGACCGAGAAAAAGAAAAAAAAAATCCCTGGATGTCGGGCGGGCAAGGTAGCCATAAAAACGCTCCCAGGCGTTCCGTCGCTCTTCGTCTCTGCTTTCAAGCCGAGAAGCGCTGACGGATGAGACGTCATCGATTGACGTTACTTCCAGCCAATCACCGGTGGACATTTTAAAAACTTAAAACTTTTTAAACCAATCATGTCACGTAGAAAGCGGGTCAATTACATGGAAAATATAGATAAAAATGTGTCTAGTTGAATGAAATGGGGCAAAATTACACAACAGAAACGTATTAAGAAATTTATTAAAACACAGGAGGATTTTAAGACTCCTAAATTGATTAAAGGAGCCCAAGTCCCGCCCTTTCTCACAGGACCAGTTTTTTTTGTGTGTCAAAAAAATCTCCTTTTAAATACTAAAATAAAATCTTATCACGAAGAAACAACTTTGCTTTTTTCCATGGGTCGAATATTTAGGTTGTCTCTGAGCCATAAATGGAGTTAAGACTTTTATTTTAGTTGTTTAACTTATCTAATGATTTACAATGGACATTGGAAACCCATGTAAATATTGTTTTCATAAATACCATAAAATCTAAGCTGTAGTATAGTTAGAAAATATATTCAGATATGTTCCAAAGTTCTTTCCAAACATAGACAAGTGTTTGTCTAACAATAATGCTTTCAAGTAGGCGTTTGGTACGTAATTCATTTTATTGATTTGTTTAGCTCCATAGGAAGTTTAAGGGAAAACAAGTAAGGAGCAGCTTTTTGTAAGTTGACACTTTTTTCCTGTTATAGGTTGAGCCTATGGTAGTGCAAGTAGTTCCTGAACATCTAAAACCATTAAAATTATATAGATAATCCATGTTATTATCACAGTATAGGTCAAGTAGTTGAAACTTGGACAGTTGGGTCACAGCAGTATAAGGATTCAATGCACAGATCAATACTTGTTTTGAAATGGGAAAACATGGCTAACATTTAGCATCAGAAAAGCTCCCCAAATCTCAGAATTTTATCCCTACAAAAATAGGCGATTTACACTTAAATATCTGAAAAAATTATAGGAAATCAACACATCCAAGCAAGACGAGTGGTGAAATACCAGCCCGAAAATATGCCAGAAAGTTGTTGAATACAAAGACATTACGGCTTGCCAAGCCGTTGAAGTGGAACAATCCTTCGGTCCATAGATCAACCACTGATATGCATTAATAAAAGCTCCAAATAAATTACATCCACTCCAGCAATGTCAATTTCTGCAACATGTTATAAAGAAGAAACAGAAACCATGCAGAGTGAAGCTTTTTCATATGCAATTAAAATTTGATCACTGAAAACATGCTTCATTTAAATACAAACCAACCAAACATTTTTGTGCATTTTGTACATTAAAACCACATCTGTACAGAAATGGAGAAAAAAAAAACAACACTAAAAATGCATCTCTAGCAGTGTTGAAAACTCATGCATGAATAACCTGCAAAACTGTAAAAACCTGAATTAACTGATTTAAGAAAGGTCCATACAATAAAGAATATATATTTTGATCCACATTTTACTTTACATATAAAAAAAAAAAAAAAACCAAAAACAAAAAAACATGCATATACAGAAGTAAACCTCTCTGGAAGAATCAGCAGGAATAGCTTTGAAGGGTTTTCAACAAATCAAATCTGATCTTTTAGCAGCAGCCAAAACATCTATGGAAATTCTTACAGTTAAGTAAACTGGCAAATTTATCAACCTGCAACATTTCTGAGACGATGAGATATTTGGAGCTGAGAGTAAACTGGAAAAAGGCTTCAAAAACATAACGTAACACGATTGGAAGAAAAATCTGTGTTTCATCAATTCCTGTGCAACCAGATTATAATAAGATGTGGCATCTCCGTGGCTGTAGCAGATCATTCCTGTTGCCTTTTTTGAAAAAATGTAGAGATTTTTACAGTTTTTGGTGAATGGAGCACCTAGAAGAAAAAAGAGAAAAGAATGTACGTAAGATATGGTAATCAAACGAAACATTTACAGTACCTATTTATGCTACATATTGGCAGGTAAAGACCTTAAGGTAACAAAGACAAAAAAGAAAAGAAAAAACACAAAAGATTAAAAAAAAAGTAATGTCAAACTTCGGTAAATAAAAGTTTCGACTAATACCAACATTTGTTCTCAAGGATTATAAAACAGGTAGGGTTATTAAAAAAACAAACAAAAAAAAACTGCAGATGTCTTGGCATAAATACCGAATAGGGAATAATTTGGCACGCATTTCCGATAATGATGATTAAATCAAATCCAGAAAATGAAATATTTCTAGGGATGCAACTAATGATTTTTTGCAAATCAAATTATAATGTTGATTATTTTTTTGATTAATGGATTAATAATTGGATAGCCAAAGATTTTTACAAAAAGAAACCAGGAGAATCTCAAACCTTTCCACTTGATGAGTTCTGGATAGAGCATATTGACTGACAACTTTCTTTCTTTTTTTTTTATCTTATATGCAAAATGTTTATGATATTGTTGACATTCTTGATATAATTTCTGCTCTAAGTGGGTCAGCTAAAGGCATATTTACAATCTCTATACTCCAGTTAATGATTAATCGATTACTAAGTTAGATGAAAATTATTTCAATAATCAATTAATCCAATTTATTGTTTCAGAACTTAGTATTTCAGACTGCTTATAATGAAAACACACAAGGAAATAGAATATTTTATAGAAGTGTCAGAGGTTTTGGAAAGTATTCTCTTCCAATGCACTCATTGCTTGGCTAAGGTTCATTTTTGGCCTGAACAAAACTTCCTGTCATGGTTTTCTTCAACAAAGCCAATAAACTTCAACTAACCATGACAGGAAGCCAAGATAAAAAAAAAAAAAAAGAGCAGAAGCTTCAGGCAGAGTAGGAATGAGGATTTACGTTCAAAGCTTGGATGGCTTTACTTACTGGTGAAGTGTGTGTCTTCCTGTCTTGTTTCTTATGAGAACTGGGACTTCCTTGACTTTTTTTCATCTTTTGACCAATTTCTGACAACCAGTTCCTTGCGCTGGGAGAACAGTTCTCCTTCCCAGTCTGCCGTGAGGTAACTGGTTCACTCTCAGCGGTATGATCATCTGTCTGCGCCGAGCTCTCCTGAGCAGGGTAACACACATCCGACAGGATGCGACTCCTCTTAGCTTCGGGGTGGAGTTCTGAATCACACTGACGCGGGGCGACGTCCTCGGAGCAGGAAGGTGAGCTCTCATCTGTTTCCAGCCTGCGTTTAGCCCGTCGCCCCGTGGGGGTGGCGCTGCTTGTGGGGCTCAGACGACACTGCCTTAACGTCTGTTGTGTTGGAGTGGTGGCGCCAACCCGACTCTGAGCTCCATGAGTTGGGGATAACCACTGCTGGATAGAAGCTGGGGGTCTCTGGTGAGCGGGAACTGGTGTGGAACGGTTTGGTGATGCGGTGCTGGAGGGTAGAGGCAGGGCGGCGCTGTTAGGGGCGCAGGCAGCCAACTGCGGCGATGCCATGCCGTCAAGAATCTGCGTCCTCTGGGTCTTTGAAGGGGGTGTTGCTGCTGTGACCGAGGGCACTAAAATAAGGATGAGTTTAGTTAATAAAGGTCAACTAATTTATAAGGCTAATTTCTGTAATATTAAAGGCTTAGACACCAACACCACACTATGATGCTCCCACCACCACACACTTTTATTATAACAGAGACATCAGGAACTTTACTTAGTCATAAGTCATTGGTCAAACCATATTTCATTTATAGGTATCTGATTCATAGTGGGTTCCATCCATTCAATTCAATGTAATTATACTCAAACTGGTGTTGATTGTTCTATTAAAATCCGGACATAATACACTAAAGTTCAAGTTGATTTAAAAGAAACTGCTTAGACTGCTCATCGCTTCGACACTCTCCATAATAATTGATGTGAAAGGGTGACGGATCGATGAGGAGGTACCTGTGGGAGATCCAGGACGTGCCCAGCCTACGAGGTTGGCTTCGCCCACTGATGAGTGCGCCACATCCGTTTTACGCTGAAGCCTCCAGATCCGTATAGTGTGGTCATCGGAGCAGGAAGCAATCTGCCGACAGAGGAGCAAGGTGTAAAAATAGGTTCAGAAACAAGCAGGTGAAAAAAAAACAAAAAAACATTAAAATGAAAACAATTCAAATCTGCTGACTCACTTTTGTGAAATCTGTCGGGCACCATGTGACAGAGGTCACTTCCTCACTGTGACCCTGGAGGATCACAGGGGGATGTTGAGGTTCAGAGATCTGAAAATAATAAAGAAAGAAAAAAAACAGAGTTTCAATAGGAGAAGTCAAAAAGAACAATAAAACCTAATTATATTAAGGTAACATGTGAGGACAAACCGCACCTTCCAAATGTACGTGTGATTGTCACTGGATCCGCTGGCTAAGAACTGGTCATCAGGGCTGATCGTAGACTTGACATAGAAGGAGGAGTTTTGGTGTCCACTGAAAACAGCAACTGTGGAAATGAATGTGTCATTTTATAAGTTCACCAAACAACTCTTTGATAGAATAAATCAAACTAAAGGATAACCAGAAAAAAATATTTTACATCAGGAATCCATTCCTGTAACACTTTAAAAATGTGGTTTGAGTATATAATCTAGATTAAAATAACATGCATTGATTTTTAACCACAAATTTCAGTTTATCATTGTATTTTATTTTACTCAGGATTATATGTAATAAGCTTCTAAACTGAAGTGGAAGGAAAGAGATTAATAATCTTCTAAATGAAAAGAAGTGTGACATGCATGTGAAATCAGACCCCCTTTTACTTTAAGTTCCCTAAAAATACCCAGTGAAACCAATTGTCCTTAACCAAATAACAAACATAGCCTGAATTTAATTGTATCTAGAAATAAATTCAGATGTTTGTTAGAAGAATCAGTGGACATAGGGATCATTAATAGTTCTCTTTAAATCTTGACCTCTATTGAAGAGCGCCAAGGCTGTAGAAATGCCAAAAAAAAAAACCCTTCTGTAGTTTTCCTTTTCGCCATTACGGTAGAAGCATCATGCCTAAATCCTACTAGGAATCTGTTTTTAGAATTTTAAAAATGCTGTTTGGAGAAACTTTCCATCCAGTTCTCATCTGCCACAAACTGGATTTAATCAAAATTAAACTTTTTGATCAACTTGTGAGAAGGCAAGGTGACTTCAAGCTGACTGAAAAAAAAATGGAGGAGGCAGTATCATGCTGTGGGGTCTCTTTTTCTAGCAGTTGCAGGGAAGCAGGTTGAAGGTAATTTTTATATATTAAGCTAAATGAGGGGGAGGCTGGCCTGAGAGTTAACCATCCAGGAGTACGACTACTTCCTGACTCAAAGATGCTAAATCCAAACCCACTTCTCATATCTTCATCTAATCTGTACAAACCCAAGCATCCTAATCCTTCTAGTTCAATCCTACGCCTCTATTTATTGGTCCATCGCATAGAAGGAGTATGTTTACCCTAGTGGGGCTTTTTATTTACAATTGAAACCATTTGTCCTTCAGACAAACCCATTTGTTCACCATCAGAGTTCAGTCATGGAGAATTAGCTCCATCTACTGGTAGATTAGGTGTAGACCAACTGACGTCCAAGTTTACCTGGAGTCGTCTTTATTCCGCAGACGTTGAACATGTAAATGCTGTCATCTGTGCAGTTACACATGATGTTGGACCTGGAGGAGTCCAAAACAAGTCCAGAATAACCTGGAATTTAGAAGATTTGGATCATTTAGTGACCTTGTGTGGATGTAAGGTAAAAATGTTCGCATGACAGGTGACTGACCGAGTCTCATCCGAGTGGAGGAGCCTGCATATGGATAGATCTGCATAGGCACAGGGTCCTGACGGTACACTGTGTAGTTCTTCCTCAAATCCCACATCTTTATAACCCTGAGGGGAAAAGGACCCATAAACATCCGCAGTATTTACAGTTTAAACATGTTTCTTTTTTTTTTCCCTTCTTTTTTTTTTACCCATCAACAGCACCAGAGGAGAGGAGGGTATGTTGATCCCGAAATAAAACCACTGTTACACTCTGCTGGGTATCCTACAAAACAACAACGAAAGAGAATACCTTAGCCTTCCTTTGGACACAACCCATTTTCCACTTCTATAAGCAAACACATCAACTCACCACGCTGGGAGCCATACCACGCATGCTGCTCCCTCTTCTCTTCGTCTTAGAGGGACGATTGGTCTCCGATTTATTGTGAGCACCGCTGATCTGTTTCACCTGCCTGTAAAATCCATCTGTAGAGCAGAACATTAAGACTGAGCAAGAATTTTTCCTTTTTTCCTCAGTCTAGAAGCAAAATAGAACATAGTGGTAACACACCTTTCTGGCTGCACCTGATGTCCCAGACCATAATATTTCCATCTCTGCCCCCCGTGCAGAAAACAGCTGTTTAAACAAAGGTCGTGGAAACACAACAGAATCATCATTGGACAAACCGACCATTATGAAAACACCAATGAGTAAATCTGTTCTCCTTCTCATTAACTTAATTTAAATTAATGGAAAAATAAATGTGTGTGTTTAATTTGCAACATCTAACCTTGGTTTCTCTCTCTTTACATAATTTAGCTAATTGACCATTTTTAAAGGATTTCATACAATTCATAGTGGGACTAAATGACTGAGAAGCATCAATCATACATTTCTATCAAACAACAAAGTAATCGTTTAATATTATTTTCAATTTCTTCTTGCCTCTAATTTCTTCTACATTTTTCATCCTTCGACTTTTTATTTCCATTTTTTTCTTCCAATGGTTGCATGTTTTTCATAATTATCCAGATCTTGAAAATACCTAAATCAACTTAAAATTTCTCTCGTATTTTTTGTATGAACCCTGAATATAAAGACAGATGGTAGCTTCATTAGTTTAAGTTGTGACCCAACTGTTTTACTTTCTTTTCTACGTGTTTTTATCATGTTTTTTTTTTTTACTTGCTTTTATTCTGATTTTTTGTGGTCCAATTATATTACAAATGTTTTTGCTTTTATTCTGCTTTATTTTTTTTCTATTAAATTACCTAGTTCATGTAAAGCACTTAGAATTTTCCATGTACTGAATTGTGCTATACAAATAAAATTGACTTGCCTTTTGTTTAAAGAGGTTTGCTAACAGCTGCAATGGTCCTCACGATTTAGTTTAAAACTGAGGATCATTTTCTCCTTTAGTAACGTAAAAGCTTAGCAGGATAATCCCACACCTAAAAAAAAAATGCTGCAGTCTTCTCCCTGTGAGCTCCAGAGATGCATCTACCTTCCTTCCTGATGTTCCTCTGGCCAGACGGCCATGGTTTTCCTCTATCACACGCCCTGTGTCTTTTTAAAAAAATTAATTTTTTGACTGATGTTCTGAATATAGATGTGGGCAAATTAGGTAAGCAGTTATTGTTCTTTACTAGGGCTGGGTAAAAAAATAAATAAATCTAATCAACTTTGAATCGAATCCTTTACATTTTTGCAAAATCGATGTTTAGGGGAAAAGATCGATTCATTTTATAGTGACCCACGTGATGTTCACATTCAAATAAGCAGGAAAGATGCACTGAAGATTACTTCAAGCCAGACAGCTGCAACTATAGCAAATAGGTTAACTGAAGACATTAACAAATCGGAGCTGACCTGCAAAACCCTTAAGTTGTTACAGACAATGCTGCACATATGGTTTGTGCAGTGGAGATAATGCAGCTCATGCATGTCTGCTGTGTCCCCGCTGTTTCACGTCTGCTCGCTCGAGTGAGGCTTCACTTTTTCCACAAACAAGTTTGCACTTTTGAGACAGTTTTGTTCACATCTGAAGTTTAAACTGTCTGATTTACAAGTTTGCACTTTGTGTTTAATGTGACAGGAAAAAACAAAATACATGAGTATTTTGAAACACAGTTAACCCACTTTCATTATTGTAAAAACAGATTGAATTAAAATTAATCGATTTAGAACTGTATGATTCAAAATCAAATCGATTCAGGACTTTGGCGAAAATAACCAGCCCTATTCTTTACCACTTTCCTGACTTTTAAAGATAAACACAAGTTGTGCCATTCTGTGGTCTCTCATCATTCCTGTTTCGAAAATAAGAGAACAGGAACGGCTCTAATTTCACATCTTATTTGCTGCTTAATAGAATTCAGGAAATAGATGAAGTCATGAATTAACCTTTATAAAAATACCTCAGTTGTATTTATTTTATAGGAAATGAGCTGTTACCACAAAGTAGGGGGAAAAAAGTGATTTTCTTTAAGAAAATCTTTTAGAAAATGTTCTGGACCACATGGTGTTTTATACTTACAATAATTTAAGTACTGGAGCAACCAGAGCAAATCCACACTTCTAGATTGTTTCCCCTGACATTTAAAACTTTACATAAAAAAAAAAAAACAAAAAAAAAAACTCTATCCTGTCAACAGAACACCGAGAGGAAATTCAGATTTTTTATTTTTTTTGTTTAAAGCAAACCTTTTTCTCCTGGTGCGAATGCAACAGACTTCAGGGTGCAAAGGTGGCCTTTAAAGCTTCCCAACGGTTCCCCCGACTTCACGTCCCACAGCCTGGCCATCTGGTCCCCTGCAGCGGTCACCTAAACATGGACACAAGTCATGGTCATATAATCAGCAAACAACTTGTGGAATCTTTGCTTAAAGGAAAAAAAATAGTTTTTAGTTTGTTTTCCTACCAGCTGTGGCTCTCCTGGCACCCAGGCAATGTCAAAGACTGCGTTCTCATGAGCCAGCCATTCTGTAAAATGTCACAGCAGGTCAGCTGAGGACGTATCCTTACAAATAAGCTTGACAGACAGAAGCTCCTAAAAATACCTTTAAGTAGAGGGTTTTCCCGACTTTCTGTGTCATATATCCTAACAACGCCTTCTTCATTAGCTGCTGCAAGGACGTTTTGCATGTCTGCAGCTAAAAACAAAGAACCATTTATTTATAAAAGGCCACATGTCCTTGTTCTGTACAGTGCCTGATGCATACAAAGTATAAACATGATTACCTGAGGAGAACGCCAGGCCAAAAGGTGGCACAGGATCACCGGTGTTCCCATATGAGATGTGCTCGTCGTGCCGGACGCACTGGTAGCCTTCCAGCAGTGAGGTCAAAGGGATCCTGGAACAAGGATCTGCAGGGAAGGCTGCATGATTCATGCAATGCCAGAAAATAGAGAGGGTTGGTATTTTGTCAGATGAGACACAGACTCGTTTTTTCACATTAAAACCTCATTATAACCAGTTTGGATTGTATTTGTTGGACCAACATCAAGTCTGTAAACAATAGCTGCATCAGAAAGATGAAACATCTTCAAGTGGTAGTTTCCCCTCTACTCCTCTCAGTCTATCCTAACTGCTGTTTTTATTAGGCCACAATGCCAAATTACTTCCAGACAAAGCATAGGTAATGCATAAAGATGAATTTCTTAATGGTCTTGTGATTAAAGAAGCCATCAGGAACAAATGTTTAAAGAGTATTTAACTGATAGTGTTTCTGGTTTACATCAACCTTGTAGAACAAAAAATGAAATAAAGGCTTGATCCAGATATGCATAATGGAACAAAGACATTAAAATGGACTAATTGTATTTTATAATGCAATATATCGTTTCTCACACTCGTTTTGATGCCGATTTCCACCACTCACGCTGACAACCATTTTATTTATCTGTGAACTTTTCCTTTTTCTGTCACAGCAGCAAACTCAACCCCCAACGGTTACTCGATCGAGCTCAAACAGGCCAAATCTATGATGAAATATTGCTTTACAGCCTTCAGTCTGACTTAAATCAACGTTTAGCTATAGGACACATAGCATATTAACTGAGGGAGCAAAGCTCTACAAAGAACATGATGTTTCTCACCATTCTGCCTCCGTCTGCCCACTCCTCTGTCAACAATAGAGCGGAAAAACATCCCCATACTCCAAAGACAGACGATCTGATATTTATACTAACAACTTTATCCGATTGTTAACTGGTCGCCACTTTTCTCCCCCTCTTGTTGCTGCCTGTGTGATTTTTTTCCCGCGAACAGGACGTATGATTAGAAGAACCGAATTCCGCGCGAATCGGTGCTGTGTGAGCAGCTATTGGTCCGTTAGGCTGCAATTCCGCTTCCGGTTACTGCCTCCAACAAAGACCACATTCTTCAAAACAAGTAGAAACACTGCGTTAAAATATCAACCAACAATATTTAATTTATTGGAACTTCTCCTAATATTCGTATGCGTACTTTCCGTATTAAATGCCCACGAATAGACTGTTGCTTTTAATGTGATGACATTAATGATGACATGAAATCTGTGAAAAACTCTAAATATGATCTCCACCATTTCTGTATGCAAAATAACTTCTAGATAGGAGCATATTATAATCACATAATAACATATTAATAATTATATGATTTAATACAAATAAAGATAGCTTTGAAAATTAGAAAATAAAACGTAGAAAATCTATACAGCAAATAAAGCAGATGGAAAAATCGTGCACTCAATCTGAATACTTACGTCAGCTTTATTTATTTATTTATTTATTTATTTATTTATTTATTTATTTATTTATTTATTTATTTATTTATACATAACCTTCAAATTTTGTGCGCTTCCCCGATTGAGATTTTAGATTGAAAAGTCAGACTTCCGACCGGATATGACGTCGACAAAGAATTGAGTCCTAAAGGAATATTGGGAAATGAAGGAAGTATAAAGGATATTCAAAGAAAAGCATTATTTTTTTTATCTACAGAATCCAAAATTAAAAAATAGAATTTGATGTAAAGTAATGTCGCTACACACTCATGTACAGTAGGTGGCGGTATGCACCTTAAAGTTGTTTGCGATCCGCCATAATAGAAAAGAAGAAGAAGAAGGATATGACGTCAATGACAGGGTTGCCTACCCGAACGGCAAGATGCCAACGGCAGTTGTTTGTTATTGACCGTTTATTATAAAGGTTAATTTTAAAAAGCTAAAAAAAATGTCGCTTTCAACAGCTCGCTCATTCCTGTCCGAGGCTTGTTATGGGGAACAGGAGCTGGATGCTAACTCCGCTCTCATGGAGCTGGATAAAGGTGCTCAGCTAACAATGCTAACGGTTTAGCATAACGTCTCATTGATTGTTATTGCCCCGTTTCGTGTTTCATTTGTTTTACTTTCAAATTGGACTAACCCTATTAGGGTTTGACTACTCTGCTTTGACCAGGAGGTTTTGTTTATTTTTAGGGCTGCGTTCGGGGAAGCTCGGAGAGCAGTGTGAAGCTGTGGTGTTGTTCCCCAAACTCTTCCAGAAGTACCCCTTTCCCATCCTCATCAACTCAGCCTTCCTGAAACTAGCAGACATCTTTAGGCTCGGGTATGATGGCATATGAGCTTCTTATAAAAATTATTTAGTTCGGGGTCGCATTAACCTAATCAGAAAATAATTTCTGCAATTTACCACAATAATAGCTGAGTATTAAAATAGTCATTTGCATGAATATATAAAAGGAAATGTATACAAGGGATGTTGATATCCCATGTTAACAATGCAGTGATGGCCAATAACCAATGTTTTATTCACACATTTTCCTATTTTTTTAACCTACCTTGAAAAACCAAACGCATTGCTGATCTGCTTCACATAAAAACACACAATCCTGAGCTGCAACACAACCACTGCCACATCACCAAGGCAAGCTGAAGAGATCTATTTTCTACAGCGACCTGGAGAACTATTCTGAATAGAAACCCAAAATCGGAATCAATTGTACTCCTTTACATTTCAGAATTTTATTGTAAAAAAAAAAAAAAAATCATGAGTTTATTTTGACTATCATATAAAATGCATATAACATACATTGAAGTTTCTGGTTGCAGATGTTATATTTAGGGCTGCAATTAATAATCATTTTGGTAATGGATTATTCTGATGCTTTTTTATTATTAATCTGATGGCAAATTTGTTAATAGACTGAAACCAGGTGAAAATAAAACTTGAAGAGTTCTGAATAGACCTTATGGACAAAAAAAATGTTATTTAAATGCAAAATATTTGTTTTGTTTTTTATTTTATTATTATTACTGCTCTATGTGGGTTGCTCAGTCAGTTAAAGGCATTATATTTATATTCTCTATGATGCTGTTAAAGATTCATCGATTACTAAATTAGTTGATGATTATTTCAATAATTGATTCATCTGATTTTAGCCATTTTTAGCCTTGGTTGACATGTTTCATTATTAAAAGTAGCTGTCTCTTTCTAGAAACAACTTTCTGCGTCTGTGTGTCCTGAAAGTAACACAGCAGAGTGAGAAGCATTTGGAGAAGATTCTCAATGTGGATGAGTTTGTTAAGAGGGTGTTTTCAGTCATACATAGCAATGACCCCGTGGCCAGAGCCATCACTCTGAGGTAAGCATGTTGGTTTACAATACATTCCATAATATCATGATAAAAAGCAGAGAAAAAAATTTTCATTTTTTATTTGTTTTTATGCTGTAGGATGCTTGGTAGTCTGGCCTCCATCATCCCAGAGAGGAAGAATGCCCACCACAGCATTCGGCAAAGCTTGGACTCGCATGACAATGTGGAAGTGGAGGCTGCCATCTTTGCTGCTGCAAGTTTCTCTGCACAGTCCAAGTGAGGAAAAATTATCTGTAAAAAAACTCTACAGTGTCTCCAGAAAATAATGTGATAGCTTACTGGTTTACAGGTTTAATTTTACTGTTTTTAATCCTCAGAGACTTTGCTGCCGGAATTTGTAACAAAGTCAGTGAAATGATTCAAGGTAAAATATCCCTTCTAAGCTGTTATCTACGCTTTGTGTTCTTGTGTCACAAACTTTCACAGTGTGCCCTAATTTCTACAAAGCTGTGTTTTATTTCGTGTTTTAGGATGGATGTTGACGTGTTAATGTCTTGCATTTATTTTTGAACCCAACCATGACGGCAGGTTTGGACACGCCAGTGGATCTGAAGCTGAAGCTGATCCCCATGCTGCAGCACATGCATCATGACGCCAGCCTGGCCTCCAGCAGCAGAGACCTGCTGCAACACCTGGTGAACTCCTACCCATCAACCCCCATGGTCATCGTCTCACTGCACACCTTTACGCAGCTGGCTGCCTTCTCACTCATTGACATCCCCAAGCAGGTAGCTCTACATAAAGAAAGCAAAGTATATGTCATTAAATCATTTTTATTTAAAGGCTTTGTGCAGTTAAAAAATATACACCAATTAACAGTAATACTCTCTCTATAGGTGGCTGATAAAGTTATATGTTAATTAATCTGTAAACACATTGTAACTCATTCATGAGTGTTTATGATTCCTTAAACATATCATGAAAGCTACATAATATGTTTGCAAATGCCTTTTGTGCTCACATCATAGTAACTTTGTGTAATATGTAGAATTGCTACTTGAAATATATAGTTTAACAGCTTAGACTCACTATTTGGCAAGAAACTGTTTAGTTTTGTCCATGGCTCACTTTTAATTATTGCATAATAAACAATTATGAAGTGTTTACTAATTAATAACACATCTATAAACTTTAATTTTACATTTTTGGAACTTGAAATAAACTTTTTGCTCGTTTTCTCTCCAGTTGCAGCTTCTCCTTCAGTACCTGAGAGACGATCCCAGGCAAGCTGTAAAAAGACTTGCAATAAATGACTTGAAGCTCCTGGCTAGGAAGGCTCCTCACCTTTGGATGAGGGAAAATACTCAGGTAGAAGACGGTGCCCTTCAGACTGGTTCCTTTTTGGGATTTTTAGCTTTTAATGCACCCTTTTAAATCCTTTCAGACTCTGTGTGAGTGTGCGCTGACCATCCCGTACAACAGTTTGAAACTTGGAATGTTGGCGGTCCTCTCCACTCTGTCTGGGTCGATAGCCATCAAGCAGTACTTCAGCAATGCAGCAGGTAATAAACTTTTAATTGTAACAATGAGTGATGGTAAAATGATGTTGACGTCAAACCTTCCCCTCAGCCGGCTCTCCCGTCCCCCCTCGGCTTACTGACCTGGTTAAACTGGCGCAAGAATGCTGTTACCACAGCAACCTGTCAGTTGCGGCTCATGGGGTCGTTGTGCTTTCCAACATTGCCGTTTCCTGTCCAGAAAAAGGTTGGTTTCTTTGGACAATAGCCTATTTGATGTTCCACTTAGAGTCTCCTTATGTTTGTTTTAATGTGGGTTTTCCTCCCTTAGATATCATCCAGCTGGAGCAGGACACGGTGTTGGGAGTGGAGTCACTTCTGATGCTGTGCAGTCAAGACAGCAGCCCCAGTGCACAAGCCACTCTCAAAGTAAGATGCCTATGTTAACAAAACAGGCATTTGATTTGTCCCGTTTTAGTGTCTTATTCTTTGGGATGTAAAAATGAACCATTTAAAATCTAGTTAGAAAATAAGGAGTATAGGTGATTTGAATGATGATTCCAGGGAAATTTTACAAGTTTGCTTTGTTTTTCAGATTTCAGATAATAGAGCAAATGTGAATAATAGACAAACTCAGAGTCTATTACTCCAATGTGGAAGATTTTGTCTCCTTTCTTTCTCTGTAGAATTTAGGCTCTTGAAGGTTTTAAAGCATCTAAAACTGTTAAAGATTACAGTGGAATCAGGTTTAGGTTTCAAAGCCTTTAAAGTCTGCTTTATATTCTTCTTTTTTCTTTAAGGCATTCAGGTTGCTTTGTTTTGTCGCTTCTGTTGGTACCTGTGTGTGCCTGAGTTTAAAGCCACAACATTTTCTGATGGGGAGCAGAATTCATTCATTTTTCTGGAATATGCTCAGTTTTAAATCAAATCTATAAGCAAGCCTATGTTCCAAAACGGTTTCCACATTTTGTCACCTCAAAAAACGGACTATTTTTTAAGAAGTCCTTTGCTTTGTATTATTCTGCCAAGCAGAGGTTTTTTTCCTCAAGGAGACTTTTTCTGCCCCATCTCTTTGTTCACTCATGAACACTGACCTTGACTGGGAGGCCTGCGGTGCTTTAGATGTTCTGTGTTTTTTAGTGAACTCCACCATGAGTGGATCATTCAGATTTAAGCTACCTTTTGCAGACTGACTGCTCCTGGACATGTTCTTAACTGCTTCTCAATGTTTTTCTTAATTTGAGGACAGCAGATCTCACTGTGATTCACTGCCTTAAGAAAGATGTCAGAGATTTTTTTCTTCTACTGTCTAAAAGTAGCTTTAAATTCTCTAAGTCAATTTTATGTTGAACAAGATCTTTTAAAAATAATTTCTCCATTATGCTTTTATGGTATTAATCTGGTCTGGTAAATGAAGACTAAACAGTGACTAATTAGTTTTATTTGAGCCCCGGTTGGACCAAAAAATTAGTTTCCCTGTTTCATGAACAGCAATATTTTGCGTCATGTCAAAAAAAAAAACACAAAAAAAAAGCACAATTTAGAAGCAAGAATTAATCACTTGTTTTTTGTTCACCTAAGATTTAATGGCCACTTTCTGATTTTAATCTTTTACTTATATTATCAAAACCTTTGTTCCAGCAATGCCACCTATTTTTACTAAAAGAGAGGCATAGAGATTACTCTTCACCAAATTGAACAAAGAGATTAGTATCAGGACTAAGAAATCAGTTTAATCATAAAGATGCTCATAATTTTACTTATGAAGTCTGCCTGGTCTTCCTCTTTTTGTCTTCACCACAGACTTCGCTCAAATCGCTCGTTAAGCTGTTAAAAAACCGACCTCACCTTAGCCAGTCGGCTGTGGAGTTCCTTCTCGGCCAGCTCCACTTATCCTGCGACTCTTCCCGCGTCCTCATGTGCCATGCTTTGGCAGCCATAGCAACCCATCTGCCTGTGCTGGGAGACGGCATGCTGGGAGATCTGGTTGATCTCTACCAGGTGGCCGGCCACTCCTCCACTGCCGAGCAGCAGGAGCTTCTGGTAAGAGACCCTGGAAGGGTCAAAGTTCTCTCCTGCTGTGTGGAGTCATTTCTGACTGACATTACTTATTTAGTTTGAGATGCACTCATTGGTCTTTGACTGCTGTAGGTTTCTTTGGCAACAGTGATATTTGTTGCAAGCCAATCATCTCTGTCGTCTGAAGTGAAGACGGTCATCAAACGGCAGCTGGAGAATGTTGCCAATGGCTGGACGGTCTATCGTATCGCACGGCAGGCGTCGCGCATGGTAAACACACATGATTATGACCAGCTCACAAAACAGGGAACTGAGAGAATGAAATCCTGTTTGTTAATCTGCAGGGATGCCACGAGTTCTCCAGCGAGCTCTACCAGTGTCTTCGTACCCGTGTAGCTTCGGAGCATTTTTACTTCTGGCTGAACAGCCTGAAGGAGTTTTCCCAGGCAGAGCAATGCTTGAGCCACGTGGAGGAGGGGGACTACAGCGGGGCCATGAGCGCCATCGCGGAGGCCCTGCGCTCCTACCAAAAGGGCATCGCCTCCCTCACTGTAAGTCCAAAGAAGAGCTTATGGTGTTCAGCACTAAGTCCACCTAATTTAGACTCTGCATCTATTACTGTTTTTATAAGATGTGATTAATCTCTCTCTCCTTGCAGGCTGCCAGCACTCCTTTGAGCCCACTCACATTCCAGTGTGAGTTCATTAAGCTGCGCATTGACACTCTGCAAGCCCTGTCCCAGCTGATCTGTACCTGTAACAGCCTTAAAACCAGCCCTCCGCCTGCCATCGCCACCACTATCGCTCTCACATCAGGGAATGACGTCCAGCGCTGTGGGCGCATCTCAGTGCAGGTAAACACTTTAGAGCTCAGGCTTCAGGAGGCTCCCAACAACCAGAGGGATTGGATGATCTTACTAAAATATCACCTTAAGCTTTTTTTTTTATGCAAAAGACACAAACATATTTTTTTCACTGTTATTTCCTATTATAAGCTAACAGAGACGGCTTCTCCTTATTATGGACAGTAATGCAGAGTTAATGTGAAGAAGGATGGAGCTAAATACAGAGCAATCATAGAAATGGAAAAAAATATTGGAGGCTGCAAAGAAATCTTTAGACCTTCAACATAAAGTCAAAGCTAGAATAGGACGGTCCAGATCAAAGATCAGCTATTATATTAGTAAGCAGTCTGGGTGTAAATCACACCCATCATGGCGGTTCGATTCAGTATCGATTCCCTGACCCAACGATTTGATTATTTTCTATACTCAAGAATACATCATCTTCTTTTTCCTCCGCCATGTCTGTCTTGTCTACTGTTTACACGACTGTGTATGTGCAAGCGGAAAGAGGGTAGTGGCTAAAGAAAGCGAGGTAGGAGGGCAAAATAGGTTTAGCGCCACCGCAGCACGGGAGTAAGAATTACGTCCAGGAGCAAATGGATAAAAACAGACAACAAAAAAATAAAAAAATAAAACTCTTGCAGATGTGTCGATGCATCGGACTGTCGGCTGTTGGATCGATGCATCGATACAAAACGATTATTATTTACACCCCTAGTAAGCAGTAAAACACCTTATCCTGGTCTGATGCAGAGAATTTTTGTTTTTATCTTTAATTTATTCAGGAATATTTGATAAAAAGAGTAACCTGGTCAAGAAAGTGTTGAAATGAGACCAAATGAAGAAAACTAACATTCAAATCTCAATGTTACATTACAAATTTGGACAGCTACAACAGAAGGGAGATAATGTTATAAGAGGGGAAAGTTTTAAATGCTTGTGATGAAATGTAGATCACGCTCAGGGACTTTCAGTTTTTTCACTTCTTACCGTATAAATTTGGTGTCCATCTGTCTGTTGGTCATAGAAGCAGAAACTTAATCTTTATATTATTCAGTCAGACTATAAATTGATCTTTCTCTATTTTCACCACATTAGTTATATTATGTATAACAGGAGCCTACTTGTCTGTAATTAGAAGGATTTGTGCGTCTGAGCAGACTAAACCAGCCCTGATGTGTTGAATCATGCCGTTTGTTTCAGATGAAGGTCTGCATGGACGAGTTCAGAGGTCTTGCCGCTCGCTACGCTGACCTGCACCAGTCCTTATTCGATGCAGATTATGCTACCCTTCGCAACGTGGAGCTGTATCCTTAAAGATCTGATTCCTGTCTGACTCAGTCCACCGCCATTCCTCAGTGCTCATTTATTTTTTTCCTCAACTGTTTGTTCAGACAACAGCAGAGCTGCCTGCTGGTCTCCCATGTAATCGAAGCTTTGATATTAGACCAACAGGTGGGCAGGTGAGAATTTCTAAAGTAGCTGTGTTGTTCTAAACACCTGAGTGTTTTTGCATGTTGATGCACATCCTAGAGCAAGAGAAACCACGCCCTTATCAACACCATTGATTGTAATAATTGAAAAGTAATTCTGGCTGCAGAGTTCTGCTGAGTTCACAAATGTCCAGCATGGTTTATGTATGGAGCTTAATCAGGGTCCTGTAGGAAAACCCAGCTCCATCCAGTTTATCTGTTGGTAGAGATGAGGTGAAAGGCGGACATTTGTCTTCATTACTCCATCCACTTTGTGTAATGGCACTTGTACGGCTGGCAGTAAAACAGCCCTGCAGCTTGATCCATGATGCCTTGGAGGAGGTAATTCTCTTAGGTTTCCAACCCCTCTTTCCACAACTCCAGAGATTTTCTACTAAATATTTGTCTCAGGTTTTTCCAAATATTCAGTAAAGTTGTATTATGATTCAAGAACATCTCTTTAAAATCATCAAAACCAGAAAATGGGCTAGATTTGCCCTCAGGATTAGATAATGCAAATTTCAGCCTTTTAGCAGCTGAACATTATAAAATGAATATATTCCTTGTGTTATTTCCAGTTTATTATCCATATTTCCCCATACAGCCTCCCTTGGTAAACGTTCATGCTGTTTGTGTGCTTCAGTTTTCAGGAGTACGGCACATCGGGCTCTGTTCAGACGGAGAGCGAGTATGAGCGACGGATGATGTCGGTTTTTAACCATGTGCTCGACGAGGTAGAGGGACTCTCCAAGAAACACCCTCCTGTTTCACATCTGGTGAGACTATAACTCTACTATTCTGCTGTTCTGCTACAAGATTCATGGCTGTGGTTGGATTTGCTGATGTGAAGTTGTATTTTAGGAGGGGATTGAACTTTAATTCAAAATAGTTTAAGAAAATAGGATGTAAAATTGGTTAAGTTTGTCTTGTGTCATTCCTTGCTTCCTTTCCTTTATCCACATGTCAGTCCTACTATCCTTTTCTTTCTTTGATTATTCCTTCCTTGTTTTCCTTTTTTCCATCCTTGCCTCCTTCCTTCATTCCTTATTTTTTCTTAGTTTAAGTTTATTGAAAGTGGTATAGTAAATGAGAACAAATTTATACATAACCGAGAATATTTATAAATTTTTTTGTTTCCTACTTTGTTTTTGTGTATCCTTTTTCCCCTCATTCATTCTTTCTGCCCTGCATCTATCCTTCCTTGCTCTTTTCCTTTTTTTTTTTTTTTTTCGTTTTTTTTTTCTTGTTTTTTTCCCATTTTTTTTTTTTTTTTTTTTGCCTGCCTACTGTAGAAATGTTTTGCAGAAATAAATGATGGATTTCGGGAAATAGAATTTCAAAATGTATATAAATAAACTCTGGAAATGAATAATCGAGGAAAAATCTAATCTTTTTTTGTTTGTTTTTTTGGCAGCATACAGGTTGGTATCAGTGTTTTGTCATCTAAGTAAATTGTGTTTGTTTCTCCAGCACACCAATTGTCTTTGTGACGCGGTCATAGCCTTGTTGAAGGTGCCATTGTCTTTCCAGAGATATTTCTTCCAAAAGCTCCAGTCAACCAGCATCAAGGTAATTGCTCTAAAAGTTTGAGGAGCGCTTAAACACAAATACTGAAGGACTACTAGGGTTGTCACGATAATAACATTTCCAACTCGATACAATAATCAAAATATTTGATACTCGATACCATTTTTGATACCACAAGGATAAAAACAAAGACCCCAAAATTTAACAGAAACATTTTCATCATTAAATAAAATACAAAAATAAGAACAATATTTTGAGGTTGTAATATTAAATAATAATTGATATTATTTAATATTGTAATTTCTTCACTTAAGTTTATTAGTTGTTTAGTTTTTATTATCTCTAAGCCATAATCAGTATAATCTGAATAAGTAAAAGTTTAAGATATATTACTTACTCAAATGCGTAACCAAAAATATATTTTTAGCATTATTCTGACTTTTTTTTATGTTTAAGATGTCCATGTATGTTTAGGGGTGGTGCAAAATAGACCTTGTCAGTAGCTATGTACAAGAGTAAAAAAGGATATCTTTTTTTCTCACTGTATAATGAGATAATTTCCAAGAAATACCACAATACCCACACGCTGAAAGTTTTACTTTTGCTTTGAAGACCAAAGCCAGAAGAAATATTTTTTTCTCTCCACACCTAAAAGGATTTATCTATTTATGTTTTTTTCCAGCTCGCTCTTTCTCCATCACCACGAACTCCAAGTGAGCCCATCCCGGTTCAAAACAGTCAGCAGCTGACTTTGAAGGTGGAGGGAGTGGTACAACATGGATCCACCCCGGGACTCTTCAGGAAGATCCAGTCTGTTTGCCTAAATGTTACGTCGGTTCTACAGACCAAGACGGGGCCTGATTACAAAGTAGGACTTTCTTCCATCCTGTTTTTTTGTTTGTTTGTTTCATATTGAATGTTTTACTTAATATTTTTGTACTTAATTTTTTTTACTTTAGATACCACTTGATAGTAAAACCAATGAGATCGAGCAGCGGGTGGAACCTCACAATGACTACTTCAGCACCCAGTTTCTGCTAAACTTCTCCATCCTGGGCACCCATGTGGTAACCGTGGAGGCGTCTGTAGTGGATGAGAGCGGGATCGAGTGGAAGACGGGGCCAAAGACGACGGTATCGGTCAAATCCCTGGAAGATCCTTACTCCCAGCAGCTCCGCCACCAGCTGCAGCAGGGTGGAGCTCAACCTGCCCCACAAAGGAGCTCATACATTCGCTTTTAGTCAATATGTTCAGTTTTCTTTTTGTTTTTTTTTTACTTTTTTGAACTCATGTCATGTACAAATAAATATGTTTACTTTTTCCCCAGCAATTACTAGATTGTTTTTTTTTTTTTATATTTTTTACTTCATTTAAAAGGGAGAACAATGGTTGCTTAAAAGAAGGGTAAAACCTAACTTATGGTTGTGACAATACAATAATGTGTTAAACGTCCACATAATGTAACACTGCACAGAACCACCAGGGGGCATAATATGGACATTACAGAATATCCCTTGGTTGGTTAAAAATTATAAATACTTTTTGAAAGTGACATTTCACCATATATACACACTGCACCAATATAATCAACATTATTCGTTTGTGTAAATAAATAAACCCTAAGCTGGGATTCCTTTATGTAGATTTATAAAGCTTAGTTTGAAATTGGAAAGTCCAGTTTCTTTTTTTCTTATGCAAACATTTACTTACGAAGTCAAGCCATCAATGCTTGACAGCAGAGAGTCTGCGCAGTCAAAGGCTTGGCGTGAAACAGCAACTGCATGAAGCTAACCTGGTTTAAAATTGGACTTCCGCTGTGGTTTTTCACAATAAAAGTATCCTTTTAAGGTCTCAGGTGAGCGATGACGATTCAGGTTATTAATTACTTTGAATTTAGATTAAGGACCAAACTTTATAAACTAATGCTTCGGATATTTGTCGATTTAATTGCTGATTGTTATCTCAATATCTTATCTATAAAAGCATGTTTCTTTTGTAAAATTTTAACATAAATTGTTTAAAATATTAATACCGGTATTTGACCAACTGGTATAAGTTTACCTTTTTCTTTTTTTTTTCTTTTTGTTTGCTGCCAGATCTAGATTATTGCAAACTAGGCATGTGCCTATGGCCAGATTGGCAATGGGAGGCCCAGAAGGAGTGACAAAAATATAAAATCTAATTAGAAAATAAAAAAAAACATATATATATATATATATATATATATATATATATATATATATATATATATATATATAAATGAAGAGCAACAGCAACAAACTTATTGCATTCTCCCTGTTGGGAACTAGAATGGATGTACAACCTCTCTGGTTTCTATTCTATCTCTGGACACTATTGAGAACTTAACCTCATCAAAACGCAGGAGTAAACATCTGTAAATGTTAGTTTTCATTGTTGAAATCCTAAACCTGAACAGATGAAGTGGATATTTAATCAAAGCATAAAATTCATAATAATTAAAAGTATAATATAGGGCTATACTTTCTGTTAATATGAAATTTAATTTGAGGAACAAACCAAGTATATGCAAATCTCAAACAGTTGTCTTTCATCTATTATATTTCATTATTTCTCCACAAGATCACATGATGATGCTGCCAAGGCTTGTTTGTTTCTGCTGCGATGGAGGCCTCAAGGGTGAAGATAATCCCAAGCTCCAAACATGCCAAATTGTTTCCTAAGTGCTTCTAGTTTTATTTATTATTATTTACCGTTGGGGAGTTTCTAAATGGTCTTGATAAATATGAAGGACTCATGTTTGTCTTCTTGTTCCTTCACATCTCAGGTATGAATATTGTCTTCAGAAGCAGGGACAAGAATTATTTGATCACCCAGGTCAGTTTTTCTTTGCTGTCTGAGCAGGTCAGTGAATAAATGTGAAAAAAAATGTGTTCTTGGTTCAAACATAAGGATCAAGTTATTTAATGATTACTTATATAAATCTGCATACCGTAAAAATTCAAAAAATATCCACTGGACTTGGTTTTCAAGATTTGAAGACGTCTTCAAATCTTGAAAACCAAGTCCAGTGGATATTTTTTGAATTTTTACGGAATGACTATGACCTGGATGACTGAGAACCTTCATCAGCATAAATCTGCATACACATTACAGCGTCCAGAGAATCATCCAGACTAGTGTTGAAAACTGCTAAACAGTCCAAATTGTCTAGTGACCATGAATTATCACTACCTTTCAAGGTGCATTGTGGGAAACTTCCAGTTCACTACGTTTTTCATCCACTAGACGTTCAGACACACATTTCAATTTCGACCTCAGGTTACCTTCAAATCTGGTATACCAAATTATTTGTTTTGCTGTCCTCTGGTATGGGAAAATTAAATCTGTCGTCTACAGTTTCTTTCACTATCATGGTTTCTCCTTGAGGAACCTCTTTAAAGGTTCCCTGAGTTTCAGTTTTATCTTCATTTTTCACTTAATTAACAGTAAAATATTTCTTTACCATCCTCTTCTCTGGAGAAATTATCTTTACCATAAACTATTTCATCTAAACGAGGAGACATTTTCCTTATACTTTTTGTCTTTTTAAAGTTGGTTCCTTCTCCTTTCTTGCTGGATTCATTCTTTTGCATGTTCAAAACATTCCCTGCAAGGTCAAAGCAGATTTGCTCATCCTGGGAACTTAGATCAGACATAACATTTTCTTCAAGTATCAGGAAAATAGCTTTAGCATTCCCTTAGTTACGAGGAATCCAAAAGAAAAACCAATAGCACAGCCATGTTATGTTGACATATGAACTGATTATAAAAAAATCCCACAGATAATTTGTTTCTCTCTTTTCAAACAGCCGTTACTTCTTGACTAGGTTAACATGCAAAGTGAGAATACGTTGGAATCCTGAAATCGTTAGTGAAATCAAAGTCAATAGGGCACTATATAGCGGTATTTGAAATGGGTGTGTGAGCGTCTAGTGGATGAAAAAGTATTGGACACAACATTTCCCACAATGCATCTTTGTAAAGTAGTGATCATCCATGTTCACTAGACAAGCAGATATATCCCGGAATCTCAGGAGAGCTCTCCTCGCAAAGCATTATGGGATTTGCTGTCAGAGCGGCCCTCTGTCAACATAGGCTGTCGCTAACCGACAGAGGCGACTAATGACAAAGATGGCGCAGGAACCAAGCCGTGGAGTTACATGACCAACCTGGAGTGAAAAGTAGTGATCATCTGTTCACTATAAAGCTCACTATATAGTCCCCGCTCTCTATAGGGATTAAGACGTTCGGACACAGCGTCCGCCATAACCCCTAAATCCCACAATCACTAAATCTTCATCAGCATTATGGGATCTGTTGTCACAATAGCCCGCTATCGCCATAGGCTGTCTCTACCCAATAACTGCGACAAATAACAAAGATGGCGCAGGTACTGTGTTGGGAGGCGGAGTCACTTGACCATAGTGATTGAGGGATTTAAATGGTTGGGGCGAAAGTTCAGACACAGCCTACTTTTTCATCCACTAGACGTTTGGACATTCATCTTAAATGGTGTAAACACTATATACAGTAATGCCCTATATAGGGATTAGGGCGGCCATTCAGACACACTTTCATTTTCTTCTATCCAGCTGTTATAATTTATTTCAAACAATCCCTTCTTTTTATCTGTAGCGTTTCTCTTGGCCGCGCTGCTTCCATTACATTTATGTGCTATATTTGTTGTCCAATCAGATTTCAGTCTTGATGCAACGCTATTTAGTCTAATTCATGAACCATTTTTTTTTAGGTTGGTTAAAAAAAAGAACAAATATGAAAATACAGTAGGGTATGTTGCATTAGAGTTTTTTGATGATCATAAACTTATTTGAGCTTCATTGACTCTCTACTTCATTACAAAAATATTGACATGAAAATAAGCATTCTAATAAATAAAGGCTGTCTAAACGATTTTTTTTTTACTACCTATAAATATCTGTATTTTTACTAAAGAAAAAGTCATTTTTGATTCACTTCACTATCTCCCTAATATATGTTCACAACAAAAGAAACCCTCATATGTTTTATTTTGGGTTTGTTATTGTTGGTTTGCTGAAGCTTTTGCTTAATTTTATCTTTCTTTTTATCTCTTCTCTGTCAGGAAATCCCCATGGGTTCATGCTAAGCATGATGTACATTAGGTTTGTTATTAAATGGGAGTTTCTGTTCAGTCGTATCGTGGCATACTGTTCTTTTGTAATCTACAAAATCTTTATATATTGAACTGGAATATTGTACAATATGTTCAAAAAAGTTATATAGATACAGTTGAATTGCTCACATCTAACCAAAAAAAGTTTAATGTAATTAGTTAAAAACATTTATTGGCTAACAGACTGAAGCAATAAATAAACATATAAACTGACTGACTGTAGCTGTAGTGGCATGTTTATGGTATTATGCTGCTGGAAGGTGAACCTCTGCTCAAGATTTGTGCCTTTTGCAGTCTACATGAATCCCCATACGATGATACATACACCACCAAGTTATAACTATGGGGATTGTGCTTTCTTATCATATGCAGTGTTACTCTTTTTTGTTTCGTTTGAAAAACAGATTAAAGCTACATATATAGTGTTGTCAATACATGATTCGTGTCAACTAGTCATGTATAAAGTAAGGTCAAGTTTTTGCCTGTCTTTTGTGAAAGTTAGAGTTTCCCATTTGAATTACTACAGTTACCCTGGGTTCTTTTTTTAAAATTCAATTGAACAGCAAATTCACAGGCTGTGAATTTTTATAAGGTTGGCCAGGCATTAACCAATGTAGACTGAGGGGTGGCTAAAAGTGGATAGGCGCCAAAACCTCAGGGGTCAAGCCTAAGATGAGAATAACTATACTTTCCTACAGCCTTTGCTAACAAATAGACGCATATATTTAAACACTGTGCTTTCTAGATAAATGGTATAGTGGATAAAATTCTTTCAGATTTGAGTTCTGGGGCGAACATCTATTCCTTTGTCATTACTTAGCTACTTTTATCAATAATCTTTCTGTATAAAATGGATATTTAAAAGTACTAATATCTACATAAATTATAAAATATATTAAATAAAAAAAAGATGTATTTATCCATAATTCCACAGAAGACTCCTAGATGACTTGCAGAGACACATCACTTTCTCTTTAGCTCATATAATACCAAATCTAGTTCTGAAAAGAGCAGGAATTCTGTACTTATCACTTTTTAATGTTAGTATATTGATGTCTATAATTAACAAAGGTGTTTTTGTTGTCAATAAATTATGAATACATGAAAAAATAGTAAGTAATATATGAAAAATTAGAATGAATATTCCACTTGAGAGTATTAATGCTGCCACCATCTGTATTAGAGGGTGAAAAAATGGTAGGGGTGGCCAAATGATTGCTTAAGGGTGGCCATGGCCACCCCTGGCCCCCCATCTAGTTCCGCCCCTCCTCCGCGCGCTCCACCGACTGCGCCGCCACAAAGCGCTCTTATTCTGAAGTTGAACTACACCCACTTCCGGTCGTGTGCGGTCCTTCCTTTGTGTACATTGCCGCGGTCTGATTCGGGATCTGGAGAAAGATAACGGGTACCCTCCAGCCTAGAAAAAAAAAAAAAAAAAAAGTCGCTGCTCCTCCTGTTTGATGCGCACATGTACAGCTTGCGTTGCGGTTAGGAGGAGCGTATCGCCCAGGCCTGGATTGGCAGCTTCTCCGTCGGACTGTTTGCTGGAAGCTCAAGAGCTAGCTAAGTTGATGGTGATGATGATGATGCATCGGAGGATTTATCCCGGCGTTTCTCTCTGAGATGGAACCAGCGACGATGAACTGGAGCCGCTAACGGTGAAGACCTGGATGGCTAAATGGGGGGAGAAGTAGCTCAGCTGCACGGGGATTCCTTTTACATTTTTTACCATTTTAAACCCGATCAGATTTAACAGACGTAACATGCCGAAAGGCAGAGAGAGCCATTTTTTAGCTTAGCATAACAGTTGATCTCGCTTCGGTCGGACCTTTGGCCGTCCTTGGATGCTTCAGTGACATTAATTGGGTGAGTAACACGAGCTAGCAGACTTTTACTACTAAACTACAGGGTGGGACTACACTCTGGAGGCGCTTTCAATCAGTCAAACTCAACCTTTGCGTTCACCGACTTAAACCGCACAAAAATTAAGGCCTCGGATCTAAATCAATCATTTATTCCCCATTAACGTTAAAGCACACAGGTGGTGATTTCTGGCGCGTTTTGCCGCACCTTTTCCCGTTATGCTAACTCATACTGTTGCTAGCTAGCATGTTAGGAAGAAACGTCCCCTTCTTTACTGAATTCTCCTTCTAAGGTTCTGGTTGTTACTTCTTTTTAGGTTTGTAGCCTGGTTTATAGAGGCACTGATGACAGCCAAGCATCTTCATTAACAAACAGGCTTTGAATGACTATCGGCATAGCGTCCTCTGCGCGTGTGTTGCATTTAAATGCCTTAAAATAGCCTTATCCTCAACCGACTAGCGGAGGTAAATAGCATTTTGTAAACCTGACATAGAGCCCCAGCTGCCTAAAACCTTTCAGGTGAATATTATTGCTAATTTTTCTTCGCCTGGTTGAATTAGGACTGGTTATACAACTTCCATATCTACACCTTTCTGCTATTTATTTATTTATTTTTTGTAACTTTCGTTTTTACAAAACAAAAATTATCTCCTTTATACATTTAGTCATGTTGTCTGGTGTACTTATCACCAGTTAAACATAAATTGAGTAAATATAAAAGACAGCTCTTTTCAAATAAGGATTAAAATCTGTCTTAACAAGTAAAAGTAAGGACCCTTTTATTGAACTAATTGGTAGAGTATATATATATATATATATATATATATTGTTACACAGAACAAAACGCATATGACAAACATTTATCACATATTATTGATAAAGTGTGACAATACAGTGCATGGGAGGCATTCAGGTCTTGCAATACAGGAGTGAGTCTTTTCCTCTTATGTAGGAGAGTAGAGGATCCCAGATCTTGTGATAGTATTTCATTTTTTCCATGTTGTGATACCTGATCGTCTCCAGGCTCTCAGCCACATTTCGTAGCTTGGTGCAAAGTCACTTTTCCACATTTGCAGGATCATTTTCTTTGCCACAACCATCCCCAAAGAGTCAGCTTGAGCCTCATATGTGTTCGCCAAAAGAAGAGCCCCTGATCCTCCCAAGATGACAACCAGTGGGTCTGGTTTAAATGTCTTCTTGAAGGAAAAGCATTGAAAAATATCCTACCAATAAGATGATAACTTAACACAAGACCAAAGGGTATAAGCAAGTGTTCCATCAGTAATTTTACATCTGTTACAAAGTGGTGATGTTGATGAGTCAAGCTTATGAATTTAGGTCTTACAATAATACAGGCGATGCAATGTCTTAAATTGTATCAGGTTATGTCTAACATTAACTGAACAATCATTTATATTTTCTAAGCATTGTTCCCAAATTGGTCGAGTATTTTACATCACAGTGGAGGAGTTTTGACTCGCACCTTGCTGATTTTTCTTTATAAGATATATGTATGTCTGAATAGAATAATGCAACAGCAGCTTGACTTTATATTTCAGTTGGACTTTGATTAGGTCACTTCAAAACTTAAATTTTTGGCTTTTTAAATTGAGCAACTGAAGGATTAGGGCAGCATCTTGTTTTAATTTCCTTCCTGCTTAACATTAGAAAATGATAACAGGAAACTTTCATTCAGGAAGCTTTCCTTCAGGATTTTATGGTTGAGAGAAGAATTCATGGTTCCATGCAGAGTCCAAAACATACTGAGGTCAAGAGTCACTTTTAGGTGGGTTCAGCAGAGTGTTCCCCAAAAATCTGGCCATATTCAGAGTCTTGAGCAGCAAAAGCAACATCATTATGACTAGTTGGTGCATTTCTCTGTTCCACTTTCTCTGCCAGACATTTCAGGCATTATAAACTTTTAAACTGGATCTTTATGTCATCTTCTATCTAAGAGGTTAGAAATGTGTCACAAAGGATGCTGCAGTATAATTGAAATATTTACTTCAGCATGTAATATAGACACTGAGACCCTATGACATTATTATGTTGATAGTTGTGCCTGATCTGCTCACTCTTGGTACACAATATTTCAAGTATCATGCAAAAAGCATTTGACTTTTAAAACACATACAGTTCCAGCACAGTATTTTCCTTTTATACTACCTGCTCTCCCTCTATCTCTCTCTTTTCACTGCTTATCTTGCTGCTTCCTCCAAAACTTGGTTTGACTCAGCCTTTTCCTCCCTATCCTGTTTTCTCTTATGTGAAGAAAAGCAACACAGTCAAATAATAAATTGACAGAAATGTAAACAATATGGCATTTCAACACCATGTTTTATTAGTAATTTCATCACGTTAACATGAAATTAAGTGAGTTTTGCAGGTTCCAGAGCAGAGCTATGAATAAGCTGAAGTATAAAATGTACAGATTTAAGCAGTTATATAAAATAAATAAATATAGGAGCTTACGAAATTAAAACAGTTGTAAATAAAAAGGTATTCTGAGACTTTAGACAGACTATTATAGTGACTCTTGAAGTCAGGGCAAGTTACCGCAGAAAATGTATTATTTTTAAATGTAACCGGAGGTTTTATTTTGTTTCTGCACATGACTTCTTGTTCCGGATGCCAGGGTGATCTCATCAGATAACCCCCCTCACACGCTGTTAGATCAGCATACACTTAGTGTTTATCCAACCTAAATGAATGCTGAGTCACAACATAAAGCACAGTCAATGTTTTCTATGATTTTAAACTTAGAAAAAATAAAATAAAAAATCTAACCAAATTTAAATTCCCACACACACGGTTTTTTTTTTTTTTACTACTAAAGTAAGTCATTTTAAATGATTATAGGCTGATATGGTTTTAGCTATAGAGGCTTCCTCTCTCAAGATCTCGGAAACTTCTATTATGTCTGGCTTTTTCCACACCCAAGAAATAACGGTATAATCAAAGCTGATTTTCTTTTTTGAAAGTTAAAATAATTCTCATGTGGATTAGAACAACGTATGGTGATCTGACAGAACACCAACAGAAATATAAAATAGTTCAACATCCAACGCTGAGAAATCAGCAATGAAAAATATTTCATTTTCAGTTCAAGACGTTGCTAATATATCAACTAATCAATGGACGAATATAGATTCAACTGCTTGAAATCGACTGCCGACCGGTACGATTAAATATTCTTTGGTTTGATGTTCCTCTGCTGTCTGAGCAGCTCGCTGGGCTGAAATCTTTCCTCATGAAAATGCATGTTTTTCTCTACGTCATCAACAACTTAAACTGCTCTCCACCTACATTTGTAGCTTGATGTGCTCCTCTTCCAGTGACTGCCATTACTAACGGACTCACTAACGTCTGTAGCCTGTGTGTGGTTACCATAGCGATAGTGCGTGTTGACGAGGAAGCAGCAGAATTTCCCAAACCCCCAAGCTACTTCTTTATTGAACGTTTGCGTTAATCTTGGCTCTTCAAATGTAAAACACCTGGCAGGTTTGTGGGAGACCTAGATCATCGCCCTACATTCAGTTTCAGTTTAATTTATTTTAGTTAATATCACAATTTAAGAAAAATATAAATTAAAAAACAAAAAATGCAGAGAACATGGTGTCCTCAATGGGTGTAACAGCCCTGGTTCCAAAATAAAGTTGTACAGCCCTAGACTCTTACTGTATAACACAGTCTGTTTGCTTTTTTTTTTTTTATGGTGTTAGTTTAACTCTACATTTAGGAGAATGTACTCTTTTCAAGAAGTTCAACTTTTTTCCTCATCAGTACACAGATTTTTTTTCCAAAATTAGGGAAATCATCCACCTGTGCTGGTGTTTTGGTAAACATATCATGACCGTTGGGTTGCTTCTGATTTCTGATAAGCAGTTATGTCGCCTTCGGATTGTTGCAGAGATGTCAGCTTTGCTCAGTCTTTCTTTTTGTTGATTTGCAAATGCAAATAAGGAAAGCGCTGCTTTAAATGTTTTTCTGCTTTTTGTAATCTTTTGAAGGAGTTGATACTCTCCTGGAGTGATTTTTGTCGGCCAGCTGCTCCTGGGAAGCTGCACCATTGTTCCATGGTGTTTTTGCCTACTTCAAGCCAACTATGTAATATTTTCCAAGCCTATTGTCAAAAACTGGCAGCAATTGTGACTGGATTTTGTTTTCTAAAAGGTTGTTAAAAAGAATCAGTAATATAATTTTTACTTCTGATATGTGCAAATAGGTAAATTTACAATACCTTCAAATATTTTATGCATTTTAAAACAAGGTATAGCAATTTAACAAAGAACATAGCTATATCTATTTTAAAATAAGATGCAAATTTCCTTGAAAGTCTTTTTAAAAAAGCTGTTGTCATATTGGTAACTGGCAACAATAAAATGTGAAAGGGACATAGATTGCTGTTTTTATTTTAAAAGGCATAACAATTTTAAAAGAAGTATAATCATGAGGACATTTTGAAGCTATTTGTGTCACCAAAGTGAAAAGTTACATAAAATAAATTAAAAGCAAAAATAATAAAAAAAAGGAATAAATTAAACCCCATCTCCCACTTTTTGCCTTTTGGTAGATAGTCAGGTCTCTGAGAACCAGACTCCAGACAGAAGTTTTCAAAGAGGACTTGTATCAGATTCACAAATCAAAAACAGTGCTGCAAGATATGAGGAAAGCATGTCATTCCGATGCTGTTGCCAAATACTGAGATGACTAAACAAGTTATGATTAACTGCTGTTTTCCTGACGCTCCCCTTTGTTCTACCAAATCGTAAACTTTAGCATCATAGCTTTATTACTATATTATTAACTATGGATATATTCGCATTTTTATTCAACATAGAAAAATTGTATTTCAATGCATTACTTGTATGTTTATCTTCATAGTTTTAAGGCTAATACCAGTTAGTTCGACATCAGTCTATCTGATCCTTGATGTGCTGCTTATATTGGGGGCTGATTCTTGGAAGATGATTTTCATTTTTTTACCCTCCCATATAGGGCATATGTGAGATTTTTAGAGCGGAATAATGGCTTTTTGGAAGAACTGAAATGTAATAGCGATAAAGAACGGCTAGTTAAGGTTTTTCAAATCTATTTATTTAGAAGACAATTGTTTTATACCTTGTAATAACAACAAAATAGCAGCTGAACTTCTGTCACAACCAGCTTCCAGTATTCCTCCTAAATGACTAATGTAGGTCAGAACCAGGTTGCCACATGTTAAATATGGAAGTTATGTCCCCCTGAAGGCGGCTGCGCCTCGGAACTTCCCTTCCGGTTCTTGTCCTGGGAGCAAGATATTCACTACTCTTAACTCAAACTGGGTAAAACCATATAAAAAATGACTAAACAGCATTTATTCCAGGTCAGGTCGTTACAGGACAGAGAAATTGCTTAGGGTTGGCAAAGCTGTGGGCTCAAAAAACGTCAGTGAGCGTCCGGCAAAGATTGAGCCCAGAACAAGGTCATCTCCTCCTTCTGATACCTCATGAGTCCATGTTTTGCATCAGGTGGATGCTTAGCTGTCCGTATCAGAAACTGACACGCCATCTATGCCTTGACCTTTATGCATCTTGCCTCTTTACCCCATTATTACACATAGCTCTCCTTTATTAGTCCGGCTCCAAGATGTGCCCATATCCTGTGTATTTTTAAAGACACAAAGGCTGTCCTGATTAGATGACCTCCGTACACACAGTGACATCCACCATGTGAAGGAAGGCCTTCTACTCTCTCTAATCTGGCTAACAAAGTAACAATGCACATGATGTATAAAGAACAAACGTAACACACAACCTCCTGTCTTTTCTTTACGGAATGAACTTTTCCATCAAGTTCAGAAACATCCGATAAGACATTTGACACTTTTAGGATAATTATCATTGAAGATGTGAGTTTATCGCACCCTGGTATGGGCTGCCTGTTGCTCGTCAGAACTGACATTTTTATCTAATTAGGACAATTCCTCGTTTTTTAAAGTTTAAATAATTGTCTCAGTTGGTTGTCTTGTTTTCTCTCTAAATCTCACCTGAGATAATGATGGTTTGTTTGTCTTTTTATTTGTTGATTAATGATTACTTTGATGATTAATATTCCATCATACCTAATAATAGGCCTTGCACCTGCTAAATGGTTGATTTTTACACCAACCTCAGGAAGGTTTTTTTTTACTGTATTGGTTTTACTTTCGTCTGACCTCGGCTAAAGGGCACAGGTTGATGTGTGGAAAGTAAACAGGAAATAATTTTTTACTTTTTCTCTGGTAGGCCTGTCAAACATAACTTGTGGATGATGGCATCTAATAGTTGTTGTTGAGTTATCCCTGCGATTGATTCTCTGAATACAGCTTATTGAGGTTTCTAATTGCGCTTGGATTGCAGAAGGGGCCACTTTTAGGCTCATGGTTGTTTTCCTGAAGTCATTTCCTGACTTTTTAAAGGTAGATTTTTCTCTGTGGCACTTGAACGGCACTGTTCTCTACTTTTTTCCACTCTGTGTCACATTATTTGTACTTTATTGAAACAGGAAGTCACCTGTCAGGGATTTAAAACTCCAAGACACTGATCATCTTAAAGTTCAGTAGGAATTACAAAATAATTTAATTATCTTAACTTAACAAACTTTTTTTTAAAGGTGTGATGATGTATTCTTATTCTAGTTTTAGCTTTTTTCCCCTCAATGTGATATTGTCTATCTCTGTGTAAATGTGCTCAGATTAGAGGCTGGATTTTTCTAAGTTATCAGCATGTGTCAATGCTGCGATGATCTATTTTAAGGATTTTTACTTATCTCTATGGGGGGGGAAGGGTTGGGCTGCATTCCTGTTTAAAAAACCTCCCACAAAATAGCTATGCAATTATTTTTGGGACAGATAAGGTCCAATTATACTGAAGCATTTAACAGAAATAAGCATACATAAACTAAACGAAACAGAAACCCAGTAAAAGAGGGAATTCTGTTTTGAAGTTAATTTTAATAGAATAAATATGGAAATAGTTTCTGTTGAAATAGTAAAACCTTTTTACAACTGCTTTAAAAGTAAAATGATAAAGGATTTTCATGCAGCTTCAAACTAGGACGTATTCTGGAAGAAAAAACAAACGATAAATTTGATCAGAAACTCTGGAAAGCTGTTCAAAATTCCAGTAGGCTTTATTTATTTTAATCCCTGCAGTTGAATGCTTCTATTCACACCTATAAAAGCAGAATGCCATGTTTTTTATCTTATTTTATGTTCAGTCAGAAAAATAAAACCTCTAACCGCTGCTTTGTCTGTCTGCAGACGGTGCGTTTCAGGATGGCACAGCTGTTGGACGGTGCCGGCAAACTGAGCTGGGTTCTCCTCAAGTCCGTGATCCGTTTCGTCTTTATGTTCTTCAATAACTGTGTGGCCATCCCGTCCTACTGCTTGTACCTGCTGCTCCTCCAGCCGCTGAGAATATGGGACAGCTCGGCTTTCTGGCACATCGAAGGGGTCATGTTCAAATGGCTGCTGGCCATGGTGTCTTCGTGGGGCTGGATCGCATCTTATACAGGTGAGGTGCTTCACTGTTACAGACACGGATTTTCATGCTGCTTAAGCTCCATGTTCTGATGTCTGGGTTAGATTCCCTTGAAAATACAAATGCATAGATCTCAGCCATAAATCCATCCATTCATGTTTTTTTCACTCACGATCAGAGAGCTGGTTTTCTTCTGTTGACGGGGGGAATATCTTGAGGAAACCAGCCTTGTGGTGTTTGGTTGCACACAGCTGAGAGCCCAATGCTTACAAATCGCTAAGAGGCAAACACGGAGAGCGACAAAGCTCCATGATAAATAATTTAACAGGTTCAGCTTATGGAAAAGCAGTAGCATGTCTGTGCATTTGTTTTGATATGTGTGCGGGTGTTAAAGTACTTTATAGACTGTTTGGCCATATCATCTGAGGAGTAACTACGATTTAATTTAGATTATTAAGTGTTATCAGTGGGGTTTCCTTTTTTATATTGTTGATGAACTGTTTGTCATTTTACAAATGTTTCTAAATGGTTCAATCTTTTCACTTTTTGTTCTTTTTTTTTTAATTTGGCAAAACAAAAGTGATGCTTCTTATGTTGATGGCATTGAGCTTGAAGCAACCATCAGATTAGTCCAGTCACGTCTTATAACTGATGCATAAGCAGTTCTCCAACCACAACCCTGATTCCAAGTCTTTACCTTCCTACAGATTCCTACTGTCTTTAATTAACCGTCATCTAAATTAGGCTTGTCCCGATCCGATCCACGTATCTGATCGGACGCCGATATTGGCAAAAAATGTGTATCGGCAAAGCATGTAAAATGCCGATCCAGTTTTTAAAAAAAAATCCGGTCCGTATTTTCCAGTTTCGCCGATTGAAACGATCCATTCCACTATTTTGCGCCAGTGTTTCCCTGTTTTGCATTTTTATTAAAACTTACAGTAATATTGCACCTTTAACTGTTTACGGTTTTACTGTTCACTGTGCAATTTCAGATTGCTATTCATAATTTTGTCCAGTTTGTGTTTATCTCTTAATAAACAGGTAAGTTTGTTGTTACCAAGCATTGTGTTTTATTCAATCTCACCTAATTTAGCTGGCTAGATGTTATCAAGAGTACTAAAACCCTTTTCAACATGAGTCTTACAACTAAGGCTAAATAGGCTGGTATCGGCCAGTATCGGTATCGGATCGGAAGTCCAAAAACAATATCGGTATCGGATCGGAAGCGCAAAAACCTGGATCGGGACATCTCTAATCTAAATGCTTCTGATATTGAAAATATGTGGTCAATTTTGATAGCCATATGTGGAAAAAGCTAATTTTTATGACATTTTGAAATGTTATTAACCCAATTTTTTTTTTAATCTTCATTAGACACATCTAGACTTGATTAATGCCACCGCAGTAGAAACAACAAATCTCTTGAATAAAACGCATCTGACAACAAAAAACAAGTGGTCCCCCAATCTAAATTAATTCAACAGAATAAAAACAAAAGTATTGACATCTTTCCTTGTGCGAAAAATATTATAAAACCATAAGACTTGAGAGAGAAATGGAGGCAGAGATGGCAGCTACATGGAGATCCAAGGAGAAATCTCTTAATAATTTTATAAAGGTATAAGAAACAAATTTGATTGAGGGGGGGAGGGTTATCTGATGAGATTACGCTGGTGAATTAGCTCTGGTGGTCAGTAGAAGAAAAATAAGATAAAGCTTTTTGAGTGGTCTAGTCAAAGTCCAGACATAAATCTGAATCTAAAATCCCACAAATATGGCTGAACTATCAACAAATCTTCAAAGATGAGTTGGCTGAGATTATGTTCATGATCATTTAAGACTCTTTTCTTGTTTTTGTAAACTCTTGTTGCCAAATTATGCAATTGATCCTCCATCTTTGCATACTCAGTAAAATACTAAGAAGGATGTGTTTCTTCTGTTTTATTATGCTTTTCCATCATGTACCACTTTGTTAAAGCTGCGAATATTTAAAACAGTTTGCTGGATTCACATGCATGTACCGTTACATCCCTACTACTGAAGGAGGGAAATGTTGCTGAGTTAATGCTACGCCATCTGTCGCGTTGCATCAACACACAGGCATTTTTTTTTTAACTCTGTGGTGGCATCAACAATCAGCTGTGGTGTAATTTCCTGGAGCAGCAACTGAGAGGAAGGATTCAGATCAGCTCATCAGGAAAGGTCAGCTCTGCCCCAGGTTACCTCTCAGGACTCTACGTGTTCAAAGGGGCGTTTTGGCAGATCCTACCTGCTCCTCAGCAGCTGTTAGACTTTAGAAAAATCTCTGCTCCCAACAAACTCAATAAGGGCCAACATCCTTGCTGTTTTTATGGCTGGAAATGTATACACATTTGTACATTTTTCTATTTAACTCTTAAAATACTTCCTTATTTTTCATAACTGTACAGTGTTTTTTTTGTTGTTGTAAATTTGACCATACTGTACCTGTTCTATTCTATTCTATTTGGCTTCATTTGATTTTAGATTTGTATGATCAGAGGCTTTTTTCAGTTTTTACAGTAGTAGTGGCTCGTTTTTATGGACAGTAGGCTGACAGGAAAGGGGGCATGAGAGACATGCGGGAAAGGACCACAGGGCAGATTCGAACCCTAGTCGCCCACGTCGAGAACTAAGGCCTGCATACATTGGTCGTGTGCGCTAACCTTTGCGCACACCACGTTTTTTGTAACTATCAAACAAGGTCATGACGTTTAAAGGGAACAACAGTCCAGTCTCAGAGACTTGCTGTATGACCCGAACTCCTTTTTTAACATTGCATTTATGTTATTTGTTAAGCAGATATGAGCCTTAATACACTTCCTAAGGGAGGTGGTCAAATAAGACTAAATGCACACATAAGATCCCGTGTGCTTATTTATTTTTTTACAAGACAAACACATGGGGTTGAATGTTTGCAGCTCTAACAGATCCCTTGTTTGTGTTGCTTTCAAACTCAAGAAAAGGAAGTCTTGCCAGGCAGGATAGAAAAGCAAATATTAAATTTAGTTGCAGTAAACCGTACTGTTTCTGATATTAAAGAGAAAATCTGTTTACCCTGACCTTATGGACCCAAGCAACGTCTGAACATCACAGATATGATCAACTGTCATTTGCTTAGCTGAGATAATTAAATCACATTTCTTGCTTTAACATATCAGCAGGTTTAGTGAAGTATCAGAGGTGATGTTTCACAACCTAATGTCCGAAACGTTGAAGTTAAATCATGTTATCGTCTTGGCTGTGCTCGCAGAACAGGGGTGCATTGTAAATAGCAGATAACTTAATCAGTGCTAAATAGGCTCTGTCAACTGCCTGCACTATGCTCTGAATGTTTAATGTCAATCATTAAGCGAGGAGGTGAATGCACTCGAAGCCCCTCAGTGTTTATCACTGGATGGTGCTTCAACTTTAACTTGAAACTCAACCTTGCATCCTGTTTTCCTAATTAGATGCTAAGTGGTGGGAGTAGGAGATCTCACTCTTCCTCTACTGTTACATGCTATGGAGGTAGGGAGCGTACAGTAGCTCTGCTCTCTGTGAGTTGGAAGCAGAATTGGAGGCATTCATTCATGAGTAATGCAACTGAGGCCCAATGAGTTTAAAGGTGCTTGTTTTGACTGAAGATGGACCTAAGATTTGCAGCCAGCTGCTGGCCTTAACACCGCATTGACAAACCCTCTACTAGATCTGAACTGTGTTGTTATGATATATAAGGTCATGAGCGGCCATCTAACCCTGTAGTTAAAGTAAGAATGATCAGTCCAGGGTTTTCTAGACAAATACCAAAGCCTACTTTTTTTCTGCAGGTTTGTTTTTAATGTGTGTTGGAAACCCTGTTGGGTATGACTTGTACTCTGTATCAGTTTGACCCCTCTGAATGGAGTTAGATGTTTTCAACCCCGTCGGTCAAAATCGAAGCACTGGAGTCTAACCAGGGGCTCGCAGATGGAAGATTTGAATGTATTTTGCATGAGTGGGTGGTCTGTCAGACCTGTGAATGGAGATCAAAGCCATCAGTGATGATTGCACACTTGTTTTCCAGTTAGTAGCTGCATGTCCCAGTCTTTGATCATACTGGTAATGATGTTTAAATGGGAAACAGTAACATGGATCTTAATCCTTCTGCATATGTGAATTTAATCAGACCCTCTAATGGGTCTGCAGCCCACTCTGGCTCCTCTTTGGCTCTTTATCTCTGCAGCGTTGTTGCTGGAGTTCAGGTTAATTATTCCTTATTTATTTTAACAAGAAAATCAGCAATTCATCTTATGTTGAGTCATAAAACATTTTTCTCTTTTACGGTAGTTATTTGTGTCTCAGAATTGCCTCTTAAAAAATGGGTTTGCATTCAGGTTATATCTTCTGTGGGACAGGATATAAAATGACTGCAAAAAATCTTTATTAGGTTTATTTGACATGTTTTAACAACAAAACCTCGGTGTTTGAAAGGTTTGCTGGTGTGAAAGGATGAGGCAAAAGACATTTTAGTTCTTTTTTAGATTAGCTTCAAATCCAGTTAAAAAGTAAAGTGACTGAAAACTCAGAAGGAAAGCTTGCAGACAGCCAATGCTATTTCTGTGATAAAGTTGATGGCTAGGCTTAAATCCCAGCCCGGACTGTGGTCATTAGATGCAACATAAGGGGTCAAGCTAAAGCGACCACAGTCTGTCATGGTGAAGGTTTTAAAAAGGGCAAAAATTATCTGGAGTTGACATTTTAACCCCTCTTTTGTGTTTTATTTATTTTTATTTTTTTTTAAGCCATTGAGCCATTAGTTGGTATAAAGTCAGCAGCAGCCTCTTTGTGTATTATCTAGAGCGGGGTTTAACCCTGGTCCTCAGGGGCCATTGTCCATGTGTTAGATATGTGTCCACTAAAGCACACCTGATTCGAATGATTTAATTACCTCCTCGGCAGTCATGAAAAGCTGCATTGATCACTTTTTCTTTCAGGTCAGGTTTGTGGAGGCAGGGAAACACCTAAACGTGTAGGACAGTGGGCCCTAAGGA